TGACGACCACGGACTCTTCTAGACAGTCCAGTGGAACACTAGCAGGCTCGCAACCTGTAGGTGTTTGTGAACGATGTGTTCACCGGTGTACTCCATCCCACATGGTTGCCTATTAGGACATTTATTGCTGAGGAATCCCCTTAGCAGTAGTGTTCGTCCCGATGATGATCCTTAGGCTAGGTCCCTTATGATAGGTGTTTAGGGACGTAAAGTGAGGATAACGGGAACGGGTAATGGGTTATTGTTGATTGATGAAATTAATAAACTTATTTATTTGGGTTGAAAACCCATGTGTTCACCAGGCTCCCAAGCCTGACCCACTCAGTTTTATGCATTACAGGTAGTGGCGCATGAGCATAGGTGTGATGTTTTGGACGAGGGATTACGGATATAGGCCTGTAGATATGAAATAATGTAGTAAGGCTTATATTGTACTGTTTATACTTTTGATCTGTACGAACATGACATCCCGAGTCTTTTAATGAAATACATTTCTATGGAAATGCTTTTGATAAATCTTTATCATATTATTTGTTTTTGGGACAAATTCCGCAACCCTTTTTATTAAAAGATAACTCTGATTTTGAAATAAAGTATAAACAAACCGGTCTTTTCTGGCCGTGATTTTGGGGATGTCACAGTTGGTATCAGAGCATTAGTTTAAGCGAACTAGGAATTTGTAGGATTTCTAGACTTAAAATTAGAATGCTAAGCGATGATTGTGAGGTCTGGTACTAGCTTATTTTAGGAATTGTGCCTAAAATGCTTTTATGTGCTAAATGCTTTATGCATGATATGCCGTTATTTTGTTCGGATCTATGGTCTGTTGCCGACTGGATCTGGAAACCTTATGTGTTTAGGATTCTAAATGTAGGACTACGATATTAGAACTAGCATGTAAACGTTTCGGAGTGATAAGGACGATTTAAAACGTCTCTCCTAAATAAAGATCTGAATTTACCTTATTCGGTGTATAGATCATGATGGCAAGGACCCGTAGCGGAAACGTGAACGCAAATGGAGGTAGGAACCAACCCCCAGTAGTTCAGCAAATACCTATTGTTGAAGAAGTTGCACCTGAGCCAGTTACCATGGCTGGAGTTCAAGCCATGATTCAGGCTATGCTAGCTGAACAATGGGAAGAAATGAGACGGATGCTCCGCGAGAATAGAGACGAACCTACCATACATGTTGAACCGACGGAGCCAGTTCCCGAGCCATCTGAGGAAGGGAACTATAGCCGTCAAGTGAGTCAAATAGGGACTCAAGGTGAACAAAGGGATGGCCTAGAAGGAAGAAACAACAAGGATGGGCGGATGTACAAAAATTTCTTGGGTGCAAAACCACCAAGTCTCTCAGGAAGCCCAAAGCCTGTTGAGATTATGGACTGGATCTCCGAGATGGAGTGGTGTTTGAGAGCTGCGACTGCAACGAAAAGCAGAAGACTGTCTTCGCTGTGAGACAATTGAAAACTGGAGTCTTGAGTTGGTGGAAGCTATTGGCAGATACGATGCCACGAGGAAAAGCCCTGAAAATGTCATGGGATGAGTTCTTGGAACAACTAAAGGCGCAGTACTGTTCAGAGATAGACCTGATTGATCTGAACAATGAGTTCCAAAATTTAAAGAAGGGGAGAATGAGCATCGATGACTATGCTGCTGCATTTACGGAAAAGATGAAGTTGTTTCCATACCTAGTGCCAACCGAACTTTCTAAAATTGAGAAATTCGCAAACGGACTGCCGGCTGACTTTGGCCCAACAGTCAAGATGGCAACCACTCTGAAATCAGCTGTTCGAGCAGCTAAGAATGTGGAGACCCAACAAAAGGAAAGAGGTCTGGAAAGGGCTGAGGTCGGTGAGAAACGGAAGTTCGATGGATCCTCGAAGTCCAACAAGAAGAGTAGATTCTCGAAACCTGGTTCGAGAGGAGGAGGATCAGAAGCAAAGTGGTGTGACAAGTGCAAGAAGAAGCACTTTGGGAAGTGTGATGGAGGGGTCACTTGTTACAAATGCGGAAAGCCTGGGCATTATGCCAATGAATGCACCCTTAACCAGAAGGCCTGTTATGGGTGTAATGAAGAAGGGCACATTTTGAAGGACTGCCCGAAGAAGAAGGAGGCAGGAAGACCCAACATACCACCAAAGCCGAAGGCGAGAGCCTTCCAGATGACGCTCGAGGCTGCAAAGGAGGCAGCAGACGTCGCTTCAGGTACCTTTCTTGTAAATGGTTTGCCTGCAAATATACTGTTTGATTCCGGAGCCAACTACTCCTTTGTGTCGCATAAATTTAGTGCGAAATTAGCATTACCTGTAGAAAAACTTGATAACGCCCTAATTGTAGAAGTTGCCAGTGGCAAATTTGTATCTGTTAGTAATCGTATTAGGAACATCGTCATTGACCTAAACGGAAACGAATTCCAGGAGGAACTATTACCCATAGAGTTAAACGGTTTCGACATCGTTTTGGGTATGGATTGGCTTAGCGCCAACGATGCTGAGATATTATGCCGAAAGAAGATAGTTAGGATAAACCCACCCAGAAAGGAATCATTTATGGTGTACGGGGACAAACGCAGAGTGAGTTCTGGAATCATCTCCTTGATGAAAGCCAAGAAATGTTTGTCCAAGGGATGTGCATCGTACTTGGCATTCGTAATCGATGCTAAGAAAGAAAAGAAAGAGGTGCAGAATATACCGGTTGTGTGCGATTATCCGGAAGTCTTTCCCGAAGATCTTCCCGGATTACCACCTGATAGGCAAGTAGAATTTCGTATAGACTTATTACCAGGAACAACACCGATAGCAAAGGCACCTTACCGATTAGCACCGACGGAGATGAAGGAGCTCATGACGCAACTTCAGGAGCTGTTGGACAGCGGTTTCATTCGACCTAGTTCATCACCCTGGGGAGCTCCGGT